CCTAGTTTATTATGGCGAACATCAAGAACTCTTAAACGTTTACATTTGCTTAAAGAATCTGGCAATGCAGTGAGACGATTTTCACTCATTGCCAATACTTCTAATGATTGTAGGTTACCCACAGCTCCTGGTAAGCGATGAATTCGGTTTCCGTACAGATAGACCTCTGATAAATGTTTGAGTGATCCCACGGCGGGCGGTAGGGCTGTGAGATCACACTTTCCCAAATCGAGGCGTTCGAGCCCTTCATCCCTGGTACGTGCCAGCTCCCTGGGAACATCTATCAGGGGCTTGTGCGATCGCTTTTTAGCTGTGGCCTTAGCCCTGTTTTCATCTGGCAGAAGCACAGTGACCTTTTTGCGACATTGTTTCGCGCCAGACACAGCAGGCATTTGCTTGTTTGTCTGCATATCTGATAGAACCCATGGACGATAACAATAGACAAGGTAAGATGGACATCTGTGAGAATGCCTCGTTCGTATTACGTTACATGGTTTCGCGTAGTTGTTTCGCCTCGTCTCTACATGCTCGATAGAACATCAATCGAAACCAAACGATTTCTACGGATAAACATGATCAATTGATGCACATACCCAAGACACTAAAACCGAATATTAATCAATAATAACGCGTCCCTAGTTTTCTGTTTTGTTCCTCGCTTTGACAGTTGACAACTTGACAGAACGTTACACGCGCGCCTGTCACGGACACGAATACGAACACGAACACCAACGAACACGAACACGAACACGAACACAGGCGAAGAGCGAAAAGTGAAAAACGAACGGCACGAACGGGGCGCAAGGCGCAATTGACCTTGACGGGTAAAACTCGCTTACTCGCTTCCCTCGCTTCCATGCAGCCTGCAGTATTTACAAAGAGAGCAGAGGACAACTCTGGACTGCGTACAGGAAACTTCAACCAAACTGTTTTTATTTCTAACATATATTCTAAAGGCTTATTGTTATTAAATTCGTCATACAATTGACACATTCCTATCTTACAGTAAGTTTTAGTAAATGAGGAAAAATTCAATGGATGAGCAATTCTCGATATAGTTACACATTGAGGAAACTATTTTATTTAAAATTTAGATGAGAGAGCTAATGGACTTAGTTGAAGAATGAACTTATTATTAATTTTCTAAAATATTCAGAGAAACAGATTTTATTATATGATGACAAATGTTTAGGAACTGAAATAAATAAAAGTTTCGAGATTTTTTCGATGATAGGAAATATTGCTTTCTTCACCTTCAAATTTTTCACACCAGGAGCAAAAAAGAGTGGTACCCCAACGTACAAGTGTTTTGAGATACAAGCCGCCAAAGAGGCGATCATTGCTTCGACATACGAGAAAAATTCGAGATACGAGCTTTGAGCCATAGATAAACAAGTATTTGATAAGATACGAGCTTTGAGCTTTCTTGAGTGAGTGAGAGCTTGAAGCAAGTGAAGAAACTTGTTAATGGGAAAATGAATATGAAACATTTCGTAGGTTGTAACAATAATTTTCTTATCATAGAAATATTTTGGCTTTCATCATTAATTATTTGTGAAGTAATGAGGTAACCAGATTTTTTAAAGTCAAATCGGGACGGCAAACTGTGCCTGGGGGTAGGGAATTCCTGTTGAATAACAGTTTTTTTAAAAAATAAATTATTTTTTTGAATCAGAATTGTGGACTCTTAATAACAACTTTATTATTCGATTACATGTTATACTCTATTTTTACTTATAATGCTGAAATATATCTTATATTTTTCGATTTGTATAAAATTCTATTTAATTTTCTTCATAATTAACTTGAAAAAAAACTTGCACTCGTTCATTATCTTTCGTAACTTTTGTTAATTTTTATGAATTCGAAAATTAATGTTCGAATTTTTTAATATGAGAGCCTATTTTAACCCGCCTTTGAAATTTTGCATTTGACCATTTTCTCATTAGCATACTTGCTCTATATATCCTAGTCTGCTAAGATAGCAGAGTAAGGAGTAAGCTGTAGTTGTAATTTTATTATCAAATAATTGCAAAGATTCAATTTTAACTTATAATTTTCCAAAACCCGGGACAATCCCGGATAAAAGATCTAAATCTTGGACAAATATTACTCTTAGAAAAGCCCCGGACACAAAGTTCAAAAGGAAATTCAAGACTGTCCCGGCCGAACTGGGACGGATGGTTCCGGTTACCTTAGTAGTGACATGGCTAGTAACCATGCTTATTTATAAGTAATGGTTATTTATTTATGGTATAGTAACAATGTACCCACGCGAATATATAAAGGATTATATTAAAGTCTTGTCTTTAAGTCAAATTTAAGTCTTATATTAAAGTTTTTGACATAAGTAATAGTGATTGCACAGTTATATGTTGAGTCTATATGTTGCTTTTTGTACATTTACAAAATATTATGTACTTTTATAACCATGTCTTTAAAGACAAGGTCTATTGAAATAAAGCGTGAAATTATTGAAAAATGTGAGGATGCCGAGCTTATAATCTTTTTTATCTATGAGGCCGAGGATTTACGCGAGCGTAACACATCATATTTATGTAATATACTTAAACAGAAGGAGTTGATAAAGGGTTTAACTCCAGCCAGGACCGGATTGAGAAATTTGGCACGATAAGGCACTGACGAAAATGCCGCCCCATTTTTTAACTTCCCGTAGGGTAAGTTATTGTAATGGGCCGAAAATCGGAATTGAAAATTTTTACATTTCTCGACGTTTTGAAGGTTTCTGAACATTTTGGCATACTTCAGAAAAAATGGATGTGTGTGTGTGTGTGTGTGTGTGTGTGTATGTATGTATGGATACAAATTTTCGCCCACTTTTTCGGACGTACGGATCAACCGATTTGAATGGTTCAAAAAACATTCGATTCCTATTGATAGGGAAAAGAGCTGATTAGTTTTTAGCAAAGGCAGGTCCAGCCGTTTCGGAGATACGGAGCAAAGAGTGCAAAAATTAGAAATTGAATTTTTGAGAGAACGGAGTATCCGATTTGAATGATCTAAAAAACATTCAATTAGTAATGATTGGAAGGAGTGTTTATTAGTTTTTGGCAAAGGCAGGCCCAGCCATTTTGAAGATACGGAGCTAAATATGTAAAAAATGGCAGTTTTTGAGAGAACTAAGCGTCCGATTTAAATGATTCAAAGAACTTTCTGCTTGTCTTAACAAAATAATTGATTTTGGAAAAAAAATTTGTTCCCTTTTTTTTATGTTCTAGTTTTTTTTTTTTTTTTAGTTTTGTGTATATCGAAAATATTTCAGATTTTATTTTGAATTCTGACTATAGTTCTAATATACTTTACAAATAATTTCAACTCTGCAATTCAGTTTGTATAATTCTTATAAATATTAGACAATGTTACAATATTTATAATAATCTATTTGAAAACATTTAGTATTCCTCGAATATTTCGTTACGGTACGGGAAGTTCCAGCAATTTGCCTTAAGGCACGATGCCATAATTGCCTCAAGACAGAATTCGACTTACAGCTAGTTATGTCTCATTTTTATAAAATTAAAATAACCATTTAATTGCAAAAAAATATCACGCATTATATACTGGTTCTATGTATAAAAATATTTTTTTCTTAATTTCCAAATTTTGCCGACTCAAAAAAAATTGCCGCCCTGCGCACTAGGCCCGACTGCCTCTACTGTAAATCCAGCACTAAAGCTCTTTCAATAATTTATAAGCAGCTTTCTGAGCATTAAAAGTTTGTGGATAAAATCACCCCGAAAGGATTGATCATTAGATCCATTAGATCAACTCATTTCCCCAATATTATGAATGGAAAGGAAAAAGCAATAAATAAATTAATAAACAGTAATTTTTAACTTCCCGTAGGGCAAGTTATAGTAATCGAAAAAAAATCGAAAATGAAAATTTTTGTATATCTTTAGGTTTCAGAGGTTTCTGAACATTTTGGTATATCTTAGAAAAAAATGCATGTATGTGTTTGTGTGTGTGCGGATACAAATTTTCGTCGACGATTTCGGGAACACGGTTCAGTATTAATAAGGAGACCTGCTGATTAGTTTTTGGCACAGGCAGGTCTAACTGTTTCGAAGATACGGAGCAAAACGTGCCAAAAACGGCAACTCAGTTTTTTAGAGAACAGAGCGTCCGATTTTAATAATTCAAAAGACATTTTACTTGTATTGACAAGATAAAGAACTGATTAAATTTTTGGAAGTCAGGTTTATCGTTTTTGGAGATCTAGTAGAAAAAGTAAAAAAAACATGCCATTTTGTGGTCAAAAATGATCATTATCATATGCAATCAAATTATCAGATATTTTATGGAGATTTTAATAATATGTATCAATTTTGTTTACATTTCTATGGGTTTCGTAACATCGTTTGTCCGTTAGATGGCGACGCGGCGCCTATGCGCTTCGGTATTGCGTCTCTATGCAGCTAAAGCTAAATATTTCGATCTAAAAAAAAAACATTTTTTTCCAAAAAAGTCATTTTTTTCAAAAGTTTAAAATTTCTCAAAAATTATTTGTTCCAAAGTTTAAAACATATTTAATCTTTTTCAAAAGATTTAATTTTTGGTACGGGAAGTTTCAGCAATTTGGCTTAAGGCACGGTGCCATGCGTCCCACTATTTAATATTCAAATCACTTAACAAAATCCACAATGCTGGCACAAATTAATGGCATTTCAATGTGTTTATATGGGAAAAAATTGCTTCGATATACAAGCGATTCGAATACGAGAGTGGCGAGGGTGCTTTCCATTTATGCTTATTTATCTAGGGTGCTTTCGAAACGAATTAATTCGTATGTCAGTATGGCCGGTGTGCCGACGCACTTAGGTTCTCGTTTGTCATCCATATAACCTAACGACGGTGCCATCTATGAAGGTCCGCATCAACTTGGAACGCAACTGAATGACTGAATGCGCTGAGCGTGAGCGCCCTACCCACGACAGTATCAGTAAGGAGAGTAGTATGGCATAGATAATAATAAGGCTTGTTGGTCGGCGAGTGTGAAATTGAATAAAAAAAGTATTAAAAATTGTGCAAAGTCAATTGTTTGCTTATTGTCATGGTGTTGTCATTCCCGTGGTTAGTTTTGCTCTCGTTGTCGTAATTGTTTGTGTTTTCATTAATTAACGCGACGAACTCGTATCGAATTAAACACTTGCAGTCACATTTGTTGTGTACATGTTATGTCAATGGATCAAACATAATAAATGATATATACTTATTATATTTATTATTTATTGAATTGTATCAAATATCATATTCTTATTCACTTCTATTCATTTTAAATTTTCATTTATCAATTTTCTGTATTAGTCTTACGAAAATTGACAAGTAATTAAATGACAAATGATAATTTAACTTTCAGGTGTGTGGATTATTTTGATCATTTAATATACGAGTGAAGTGTTCTAAAGACACGAGTTAATGAATATACATAGAAAATATTTATATGCTTTATAAATACGAATACTTGTGTACCCGTTATAACAAAATTGTGTTATAATGGCCCTTGGAACGCAAAACGGTGCCGTTGCGACCCATACCGAAAAGGCCCCCGTCGTAAATGGAACCAACATGGAAACACTACCGAGGGCCGGCAAACAGGTAATAATAATTCATCTATTATTTTAATTTAAGCTATTTACAATTAAAACTAGTGGTATATGGCATCGTACCTTAAGGCAAATTGCTGGAACTTCCCGTACTGTAATGAAATATTTGAGAAATTTTAAACGTTTTCAAATATATTATTACAAATACTGTAACTTTCATTATTTTTGCTATCTTGTTATATCTGGGCAAATCAAATGTAAATCATAAATCAATTTATCTCCAGTACATTAACAATCGTCATTTCATTTCGAATTCAATTTAAAAAAAAATAGTTGCCTATTAATATAGTTACACAAAATTGAAAAAGTACTCCCGTGTAGTCACAGTCTAAACGCATTCGCAAATAATTCTGTGCGACATTTTCACTTATACCGTGCTTAGCTTGGCGGCATTTTCATATTTTTTAATAGTTTTCACAAAATTGGAAAAATCATCTTTGAATCATTTAAATCAGACGCTTAGTTCTCTCAAAAACTGCCATTTTTTAACATTTATCTCTGTATCACCAAAACCGCTGGGCCTACCTTTGCCAAAAACTAATAACCACTTTTCTCCGTCATTACGAACTGAATGTATTTTGGATCATACAAATCTGCACTCTTTGCTCCATATCTCCATAACGACTGGTCCTGCCTTTGCCACAAACTAATACACAACTAACACACACACATTCATTTTATCTGAGGTATGCCAAAATGTTCAGAAACCTTCATAACGTCGAGAAATGCAGAAATTTTCATTTGGATTATTTTGAGCAAAACAATTATTCGTTCCGTAAACATCGATTCGATCGTATGTCGAATCGCTCGTATCTCGAAGCAATTTTTCCAATATAAACACATTGAAATGACAAATTCGTGCCAGTACTGTGAGTTTTGTTAAGTCATTTGAATATTAAACTAGTGGTGTATGGCATCGTGCTTTAAGGCAAATTGCTGGTACTTCCCGTACCGTAACAAAATGTTCAAGAAATATTAAATGTTTTCAAATAGATTATTATATTGTAACATTGTCTAATATTTATTAGAATTATATAAACTGAATTGCAAACTTGAAATTATTTGTCTAAATTATATTAGGAATTTAATCAGAATTAACATTAAAATCTGAATTATTTTCGATATACAAAAAAAAAATTAAAACAAAATTTTTTTTTACAAAAGCAATTATTTTGTTGAAACAAGCAAAAAGTTCTTTGAATCATTCAAATCGGACGCTTTGTTCTCTCAAAAACTGAGATTTTTTGCACATTTAGCTCTGTATCTTCGAAATGACTGGACCTGCGTTTGCGAAAAATTAATCACCCCTTCTCCCAATCATTACTAATTGAATGTTTTTTAGATCATTCAAATCGGATGCTTCATTCTCTCAAAAACTCGATTTCTATTCTCTGCACTCTTTGCCCCGTATCTCCGTAACTGCTGGACCTGCCTTTGCCAAAAACTAATCAGTACATCTCCCTATAAATAGGAATCCAATGTTTTTTGAACCATTCAAATCGGTTGATCCGTGCACCCAAAAACGTGGACGAAAAATTGTATCCATACATACTCACACATATACACATCCCTTTTTTTTCTGAGGTAAGCCAAAATTGTCAGAAACCTTCAAAACGTGAAGAAATGTAAAAATTTTCAATTTCGATTTTTGGACGATTAAAATAACTTACCCTACGCGAAGTTAATTATGTAAAAATTTGCATAAAAACTGATTATTATTTAATATTTTTTAATATCATTCCAAATTTTTTTTTGATATTTTCGAAAATAGTATATTGGCAACAGATGTACGCGCCCCTCTTATTAGAACAGAAGGGGCGCTCCCCACAGGTTCCGCGGACATAAGATATAATTATATTTATAACATTTATGGAAATATCTACATTTTAAACGAAAATTGAAAACTATTACTAAAGCCAAAATTAATATAATCGTATTTTCAGTTTGTAATAAAAATATTTCAATTTTTATTATTTTCACATCTATCACCAGAAAACAATAAGATGATATCTAAAGATTTGTCTATTCTTATAGAAATATGATAAATAATGCGTTTTTAAAAAGTATCGAAATTATACTTCAAACAAATATAATTTTATAATATAATATTATTAACTTCCCGTAGCGCAAGTTATAGTAATCGCAAAAAAATCGAAAATGAAAATTTTTATTTATCTTTACGTTCAAAGGATTTTGAATATTTTGGCATACCTTAAAAAAATGGATGTGTGTGTATGTGTGTGTGTGTGCGGATACAAATTTTCGTCGACGATTTCGGCAACACCGATCAACCGATTTGAATAATTCAATAAACATTCGATTCACATTGATAAGGAGACGTGCTGATTAGTTTTTGGCGAAGGCAGGTCTAGCCGTTCTGAAGATACGGGGCAAAAAGTGCCAAAAACGGTAACTAAGTTTTTAAGAGAACGGAGCGTCCGATTTTAATAATTCAACAAACATTTTACTTATATTAACAACACGAAGAACTGATCACATTTTCATGAAGGCAGGTCTACCGGTTTCGGAGATCTAATTAAAAAAAGTAAAAAAAATGCCATTTGGCGGTCAAAAATGATCATTAGACATATGCACATCAAATTATCAGATATTTTATAGAGATTTTAACAATAAGTATAAATTTTGTTTACATTCCTATGGGTTCCGTACCAATGTTTATGCGTTAGACAGCGACGCGGCGCTTACGCGCTTCGATATTTCGTCTATATGCAGTTAAAGCAGTACGATTGCTTTGAAAAAAAGTTCAGAATTTCCAGAATATTTCAAAATAAATGTTTCTTCAAAAAGTTTTTTTTTTTTTTCAAAAAAAGTAAATTTTTATCAAAAATTTATAGTTTCTCAAAAATCTAATTTTTTAGAGTATTTTTTTTCAAAAATGTTAATCTTTTTAAAAAAAAAAATTTTGGTACGGTAAGTTCCAGCAATTTGCCTTAAGGCACGATGCCATGGGCCCACTAGTTTTTTGAATAATTTCTAATATAATAAGCTTAAAAAACGTGGATGAAAAACTGAAATATTTTCATAGTGTAAAACTAATTTAAATGTGAATTATATATTTATTTATACTATTATTATTCATTGTATCTCCTGTAGTTTATAAACTTTGTGTAATTTATATAATGTCTAGTAATCTATTAGGTGGGCAACTAAGTAAGTGCTGATTCTTGTCAGAAAATCAAAGACATTTTTCCATGGAACTAAATAAGTTCATTCTGTAGTGTATTGTCGATTTTTAACCATGGCTTTTTCGTCATCTTTTAAGCAGCATCATTATTCCACTTTCATCAAACTTCTGGTTCTAATTTGCAAAAAACTGAATTAGGTATAATTTGACACCATCATAACCATTGAATTGTTTTCCATTCAATGAGTTTTGTAAAAGATCGAAACTAAAAGCAATCAGAAGGTGCAAGGTCAAGACTGTATGGTGGATATGGCAAAATATCCCAATCAACTCCAATTATTTTGGTCGACTGGCCAAGTATATATGTCAATAATGGAATAAATCACCGTTTTGATTTGTCAATTTAAGCCTTTTTTTTAACTGCGAGGTTTAATTTCATTAGTTGTTCAACGGATATCAGAATTGATCGTTTGGTCGGTGATGACAGTTCAAAGTTTAATCAACTTCAACTGAACGATCAGATTGTTTTTTATCTTTGAATGAAAAATCACCAGAACAAAAATTTGGCAAACCAATTTTGACACTTTAGTTTTGTTAAGGCTTCGTCATCATAAACAGCCCATAACTTTTTATGAGTTTGAGATGCTTTTTTAACTTTCCTAAAGAGAAGTTGATGTTTTCATAAAAAAATCCGATTCGTTAATTTTATGTTTTCTCGACGTTTCAAGCCATTCTGAATCGAATGAAACCAAATTTGGAAACAGTATGTGTGTGTGTGTGTGTGTGTGTGTGTGTGTAAACACAGTAAATCGACGTTTCCTCAAAAACGGCTGAACAGATTCCAAAAATTTAAAAGCCATTCGATGTATCTCGATGAGGACTATTGTCAGTTATGTGCGACGATCGGCCAAGCCGTTTCTTTATAAATAGCAGAAAAGTAAAAAAAAATTCGTCCACGTTTCAGCCGGCAATTCTGAATTTATTTTGAAAATACAAAAAAGGTTCGATAGATATTGGTTGAGAATCGTGTTGATTAGTTTTTTGTAGAGATCGGCCGGGCCGTTTTCTTGTAATTAAGTGTTAAAAAAAAATATTATATTTTTTACGGTAAATACCATAGTCTTATAAATCATACTAAAATATTACGGCCCTCGTTTAACTTTAAAAATTCGTCAAGTTTTGCGAAAATTAGTATCGTTTTTTGGCATTTGTCAAAATTAGACCTTTCATCGACGTTTGCTCAAAATCGTCTGAACCGATTTCAGAAATTTTAAAGCCATTTGATGTATCTCAATGAGGACTCAACGTTTGTCAGTTTTGTGCCACGATCGGTCGAGCCGTTACTCTGTAATTTGGAAAAAAGTGTTTTTCAAAAACATTTCGTCCACATATAGGCTCATACTACCGAATCGATTTAAAAAAATCAAAAACTGTTCGAAAGATATTGGTTGGGAATGATACTGATTAGTCTTAGGAGAAAATCTACCGAGCCGTTTTTTTGTAATTAACTGTTGAAAAAAAAATTTAACCTGATTTTTATGGAACTTTTTTGGCGATATATATCATGGTCTTATAGAACTTGCTGAAATATTACGGTCTTGCGACAAGTAGTTTAATTTTGAAAATTCATCAAAGTTTGAGAAAATGAGTTTTTTTGACGTTTGTTAAATTTAAAATTAGACGATTCACTTGGTATAACAATAGAGTACTTGGTCTTAATGAACATACTATACCATTAAAGTCCTACGGAAACTGCTTCAATTATAAAAATTGTTGATTTTTGAAAATTTGCTTTAAGAAAATACTCCGAGTTAACGTGTTCGTTCGTTTTCAATAACGTGTAATAA